GGCAAGTCTCTTCACAGTTAGCCTCAGTTTCCTCATCTGTAAAATGAGTTGAAGGAAAGGGCAAACCACCAACAAAATCCCAAATGGGATCATTAAGAGTTGGACACAACTGAAAAACGAACTTAACGTAAACTCCTTCAGTGAGTCTTTTGAGAGCAAGTGTAATGTTTTTGCCTTTCTTTATATCCCCAGCATTTAGCATAATACCCAGTGGTGTGAAGAAAACAGAGTGTATTGACTGACATAGGAAACAAAGTCAATGCCAGTTGGAGAAGTGTGGGTGAGAAAGTAACAATAGTTCGACCTGTGCTTTTTAGAAAAACCACTTTAGCGGCTGAGTGAATAGATTGGTATAGGAAGAGATGTCAAGGCAGTGAGGCCAATTAGAAGGTTATTGTAAGTCTAGGGTGGGTAGTGATGAGCTGTACTAGGATGGTTGTATTAATATCCTGTTGGATCCCGAATCTGTCCTCTGTTGTGCTGGCTATCCCTCCCAGCTGTTGTCTGCAAATTCGATGAACACACCTTTAATACCTTTATCCCAGTCAATACTAAATATGAAACAGCTCAGGCCAAACAGATTCCTAAGGCACTCATGACATTGAACAATTAAGAACTAGTCTTTGTTTTTGCTTTTTGGTGAGGCAATCATGGTTAAGTGACTTGTCCAGAGTCACACAGCTAGTAAGTGTCAAGTGTCTGAGACTGGATTTGAACTCAGGTCCTCCTGACTCCAAGGCCGGGGCTTTATCCACTGCTCCACCTAGCAGCCTGTATTTTTTCTAATAACTTAAAATCTCATCAAATATTACTGACATTAGTATTACAGCCTATAAGAATTATCAATATTCTACTACCTAGCAAAGACTAATGACCAGCAGTTGTGGGACAACAAAAACAGGTAAGATTTAAAATATATACATATATATATATATTCATTCAAGCTCAAAAATATTGAAATAGAAGTATCTTTGTTCAATCATTTTTCAGTTGTGTCCAACTCTTCGTGACCTCACATGAGGTTTTCTTGGCAAAGATACTGGAATGGTTTGTCATTTCCTTCTCCAGCTCATTTTACAGATGAGGAAACTAAGGCAAATACAGTAAAGTGACTTGCCCAGGGTCACAAAGCTAATGTCTGAGGCTAAATCTGAACTCATGGAGAAGAATCTTCCTAACTCCAGGCCTGGCACTCTGTCCACTATGCCACCTAGCTGCCCCTAAATAGAGCTTTACTGTAACTTAAAGTAAGTATTTCTGATTATTGAGTTAAATACATGTTTCATCCTTATTAATCTTTAGTACATAAATTCACTCCTGTTTTCCTAAGTCAGATAAACTGAACACAATGTTTTGTGCTTGCAGCTTATTTGCCCTAATTTAAGGACCTATCTCAGAAATTGTTCACCGGCGTTTTAGTTTCTAATAACCAAACTGCTTTTCTTGTCACCACTTTCTCAGACCAAGTCTAGTCTGGACACTTACAAGCAGGGCACAGCCCGGCGGGCAACAAGGGATCCAGTTCTAGATGCTAGCTCAGCTCTTTGGCACGGGCCATTGGAGACAAGGCTATCAAGGAGAGGTAATGGGGCCGGGAGCTGAACAAGCACCATGAAGACAGGATGACTTCTCCAAGGACTAGGGTTTGAAACCTAACCTTCAATATCCAAACCCATTTTACAAGATCATTGACCCTCTGACATAAAGTCCTCTGACACTGGTCTCTTCTTCCCTCAGCAGCAAGTAGCCACGGAATCTTCAAATTCCTGCAGGGATCCAAAAGCCTCAGCATTAATCAGGCTCTAAATTTTTTTCTCTAATGTTTTAAGCTCCTTGAAAGTTTACCTCTTAACTTTGTTTCCTCTATACCTAGAATAGACAAGGACAAGTAACATGCACTTATTTGTTACAGATGAGGAAACCAAAACTAACAGAGTTAACTTTGACTCATGTTCACACAGGTAGTCTAGAGCCTTCCAACATTCACATTACAAAGACAATTCTGCAAACATAATGAGGCCCACAGATTTTCTCCAAGCCCTTTAATATTTCACTTTTTAACAGCTTGAGGCACAAGCAACATTAAAAAAATTCATCTTTTATAAGATTGAAAGTTCTGTATAGTGCTTGTTTATGTAATATACCAACATTCTTGAAATTTCTGTAACATTTTATATTCTGAGCAACACCCTTGTCCACAGGTTGAATAATGTAACAAAAACAGGCATGATGATGGTAAAAATCATGTGTCCAAAATGTTCCTGATGCTTTGCACCAAGTATGAAATTATTTAACAGATCAAAAATATTTGTCCATACAAAGAAACCTGTCTACCTGTGAAAGTTCATGACTTTTCACTTCCAAAGGTTTTATCAAGTGTGTACACAATTTGTTCTTTTCTTAAAGGGGGCTGGCAGGGAATAGGAAAGGGGCACATTTAATTCACTTGAACATAACAGGCTTTGACATTACCAAAATGGACTGGGGTTTCATAAAAGATAAAATCCTTTAGAAAGAGAACATGAACCAGTCCTACAAGTTGACATCTAAAAAATTCAAAACACTATTCTCTACCTTCAAGATCAATTATTTTTTGAAGATATTTAGTTTTCTGATGCTACATGTAACTAGCATTAAATTTGTACTTGCCCTCCAAAATACAATTATAATTTGCTAAAAAAAAATTCACTTTTCATTCTTTTGATGAACAATAAACAATAAGGAAAATATTCCCCCATCAGTTCACTAAAATATTTCTCATAAGGGCCCAATTTAACATATACTTTTTAGGATCAGAAATAGCCAAGTGCAAATGACTGTTTTTACTGGGTGGGCCTTGATGTCACAAGGATAATCTTTTGCTTTCCTGTATCCAAGTTTATTCCATTCTTGCCATCTTTCTTTCACTTATGGGTGTTTGGATGGTTTGTAACACAGCGTTGGTTTTCTAGTCCAGATCCTTGATTTCATCAGTGTAAGAAACTCCTGCTACAGAAACTCCACCACTACGGATCAGCAACTTTTCTGTAACTTAGAATTTCTCCAAGATTTTTTTTCTTTCCCTTCAATGTTTAAGTGGTCTGCTCCACTCTGTAAATTTCTGTGATGCTTCATTTCTTCCAAAGAAGCTTGCACTTCGGTATTTCCTTGTCTTAGCTCTCAGTGTCTACCTTCTTCCTCTAACTATCTACAGCCTAGTTACAACACTTGTTTAATATGCTCACAGCAGAAAGCCTGAGGAGCTCCACAAAAGCCTTATTCCCCTTGGCAGAATGGCCTCCCCTTCTCCCCCATTTTTAGTCACCAAATCATTATTTTAAGGCTCTCAGTTCTTAAGATTATAAAACTAGAGGAGATTGTAGAACAAGATTTCAATGCTACTGAACAGAACACATGACTTTTTTTTTTTTGGCTAGGCAATGGGGTTAAGTGGCTTGCCCATGGTCACACATCTAGGAGTGTTGTGTCTGAGGCCAGATTTGAACTCAGGTCCTTCTGACTCCAGGGCCAGTGCTCTATCCACTGCACCACCTAGGTGCCCCAACATGATTTTTTTTAAAGAAAAGTTTTATAAACAGGTCGTAGCAAATCATTGGGGCCACTCTATAGTTCAGAAAGACTTAAGATAGTGTTTAGACTAGAATGTCCCAATATGTACCAGATGCTAGGCTTTAGTTTTCCAACTGGTTTGCCTACAGAAAAAGATTGATCAGCCCAATCCCTCCAAGAAAAAGTCTTCATCCATGATGTCAAACCCTGATGTTTCAATGTTCAAGAAAGTAAAAACAACAACAACAACAAAGATTTGAAGGTGTAGAGGAGGAGAAATGAATGAAGACCATGGCGAAAAGTGCAAGGAAGTAAGGGTAAGTTAAACTTACTCTAAAATATATCAGGGTTGGAAGCGACTTCACCTTAGAAATCATCTAATCCAACACATAACTGAAAAGGAGTTCCAAAAAGGTCATACAGTCTCCAATTTGAAGACCTTCAATGATGGGGAATTCACAGTATTTTGACATAAATGTACTAGTCTACTTTTGGATAGTCAACTGTCAGAAAATTTTTCTTCACTACTGATTTTTAAATTAAAAAGAAAAACTCATCAGGGTAATAGTAATAGGCCAAGGAAACCATTTTGGAATATGTAATTAATATTTGTGACTGGTAAGACAAACATGTATGGAAAACACACCATAACTAAGTGGCTTTGACGATGAAGAAGATAATCATAGAGCTGAAAAGAACTCAGATTACTTAATACAAATCTCTCATTTTCAGCAGTTCTGTGATAAAGGAGTCTGTCCTACACAACCATAGCTGTTAGTGACAGAACAGAACTAGAACAGGTTTCTTGACTGTTACTAGGTTCAGTGCTCTTTCCAATAACTCTGATTTGCAAGATAACTATCTAGGACTCATATGCTTGTTTTAAATAAAATAATTTTCAAGGGTTTTTTTGGTTGTTGATAGCTGTTGTCTTATACACCAAAAATATCTCCTAAATGTATCCATGATTATCTTTATAAATAGGAAATACTTCACATCCAGTGAATTTCACAGCTTGTTAGCTTCGGTAAATTAAAAAAAAAAAGAAGTCAGTTTTCTACTATATTACAAAATTTACTAAGATAAACCAAATCCACCCATTAGCTCTCTAACATGGAGTGCAGAATTCTTTTTATTGCCTTAACTTTTATTTTTCAAAAAATGAGCACTGGGTATTTTTTTTAACATGTAGTAGTGTCATGTCATATGTATCTTGCAACTGCATATTTTAGTAACAAATGAAATTAGTATTATTTAGATAATTCATAGTGTATTTATAAAATGAAATTTTTTTTATCAAAATACACTTCTCACTAAGATAAATAAATAAAATCCAAGCAAACTCACCTACACAAAGTTAGAATCAACTTTGGTAGATTTCAGTGTAATACATAGTCCATAACTAGCATGTTTGCCCTTTCCCCCCATTGCTGCTCATCTTCTGGGCTAAGAATTATTTAAAAATTTTTTATTAAGATTTTATTATGTTGACATGTTTCTCATTCCACATCATCTTCGGCCAAACTCTGTACACTCACAATTCTCTATGGAGGAAAAAAAAAGGAAATATATATAGATTTCATACAAAAAACATTAAGCCCACCTACATACAAGAAAAATACATTGCTAATCCAGGCATTTGGAAATTGTACCTTACTGGCCAATTCCCCTTATTATTTTTAAAATATGATATGGTATTTCATAGTTACAGCCAAGTAGAAAGGTGACCAAATTAGACCTATTTCCATTTGAAAATGCAATACAAAGTCTACCAATACATGGCAGCTTTTGTACTTTGTAACCCACAGAATTAACATGCCATTATTTAAACTAAAACAAAGGGGAGGTGGAAAATGGGACCCTATATTCTTCTCTCCCTGGTAAACAAAACAAGACTACTGATCAAGACTTTCAGAACAATTCACCCCGAAATCATTCCTACTTCAAAGGAATGCAGGCTCACCATAAAAAGCCCAAGCACTGCAGCATGATTATAACAAGGTATCAATGTCTGAAACACTTATATAGCCTGGTCATCACAGGTTATAACTTCATCCCCTACACAGGCCAATATTTACACAAAGAAATTTAGTTTTCACTCTATACTAAGTTTTCAATACTGTTCAAGAGACAAAAATAAAGACTATTTCATACGGGAATGATACCATTAGGCATAAGTAATTCAAAGAACCAAATGAAATCAGTATGCCTTCAATAACAGAGGCTAAAATTTAGTTTAAGAAGATTCAAAGAATTCTTACAGAAATTCTAATGTACTTGTGGGCTCTTGGTTTTGCTTTACTTTACTCTTTCTCCCCCTTGTGCAAACTGCAAGTGCCTCATGGTAAGTATTCATAAATTCTTCTTCTAGTGTGGTAATAGTGGGGCAAGAGATCAGGCACATGCACTGTTGCCACTACAAAAATCAATTTTTTGTACATTTAACTTCTGACACTCTATAAAATCTTCTATGGGCAAGGTCTAAATCCTAGTTTTGGGGTCCTCTATTCAATGGAATTTTTTGTTCCCTCAGTCCTGTTTGTTCCCCAGCTCCTATTCCCACTAAGTATCAAAATCCAGCTAGGAAAGATGATCTTCCTGAAGGGTCATTGAGAAGGTACTTATAAGACTGTGTACTGATGATCTCTTCCTACTTCCTCCATCACGTCTTACATATTATTTATCACTACCAAGCAAAAGCTACTTAGGAATTTAAAAGGTTGACTTTTATGTTTCACGACATGTCATCTTCCAAATACAAAATGTGTACTCTCTTAAAAAAAAAAATTCTTTAGGTTTCTGGAGGAGAATATAATACTGTTATCACTAGCGACTCTAACATATGCATAACTTATACTCCAAGTCTTGGAGTGGTATCACTACGACATACCCTCATTAGTGTAAAACCTATCAATGATAGCTGACCCTATAAGTTCATGTCCTAAAAGTCAGAGGGGGTATTTGTTGATACAACAAAGGCATGCCAGTTCTAAATAAACAGGGGCTATAACTTTCAGCATATCACTTGTCAAGACAGGGAAGTTTATAGAGACAGCCCAATATAACTTTATGTTAAAAACAAACAAACAAAAACAACAAAATTTATGGGATATGAGCATTTTTAAAGGTTAATGATCTTCAAGGATCATTCTCTCTAGTAACTAAACCATTAGGTTGAGTCAACTCAGTATGACAAAGTTTATAGTACCCAGTGGCGGTAACTATTACGTATTAACAAGAAAATTTCATAATCTTATTATTCACTATATAGCTTTATGTAATATAATATTATTCCACATTATTATTATCCTAATTGGATCTGAGATATATATGCCTGCAATACTATTTCAAATTTATGGCTGAATTTTATTATTTAACTAGGTTTAATAGGAAAGCATTTAAAAGTTCACATTCCAAAATGATCAAATTTAATTTTCAGATTCTAAATAACTACCATTTTCCCCATTACTGCAGAAAATTCCATTTTTTTTTACCTGGCTAATTGTTGGCAGCTTAGTCAGAAGCATCTGGAACACTGGTGATGGAAGAGTCTGCTGTAAAACTTGCAACAACTGCTGTGGCTGCCCACATACCGCAATGGCATTTGTCAAGTGGTCAACACCCTTTTCATATTCACCTATAAAGGAATTCTTTAATGTAAATGCTTTTATGGAACCTACAAAGTCTTTTCCTTTAATTATAAACTTCATATATAAAGCACTTATTGCTATACTTTAAGTAGAACTCTTTTCTAAGACCTCATTCTTCATAAAATTCTATTATAATAAACCTCATGGGACAACATTATCCTAATTCTTTGAATATAGTGAAACTCTGTTATATCAATTATATTTTGAAACAAGTTGGCAATTAGGAGGGACTAAGAAGTATGTTTGTTATCTAGAGATTGCTATCTGATGTGATGAAATTTGTCTCAACAGTTAAACTTAATAATTAAAACCAGAGTATAAACAGTATTCGAATTATAAATTTTAAAAATAAATTTTAATTATTTTTAAGTACTTAGTAAAACTTATCTGATAGCGGTTCATGGGAGGGGGCTGTTTTAAACAATAATTTAAGAAAAATTAATTAAATTATTCCATATTATAATAATGTATATTAATACATAATAAATGTCAATTGCATAATGTATATGTAACTTCTGAAGTGCTTAAAAACTTATGCCAACATACCTCATTCCATTTTTCCCCCCTGTTAATTCCCCTACCATAACTTTTTTTTTAGGCAATTGGGGTTAAGTGACTTGCCCAGGGTCACACAGCTAGTAAGTGTCAAGTGTTTGGTCTGAGGCCAGATTTGAACTCAGGTCCTCCTGACTTCAGGGCTGGTGCTCTATCCACTGCACCACCAAGCTGCCCCACTCTACCATAACTTTTCATGGCAGACTAATCTCACTTTCTCTTATAGATTTAAGAGTGGGAAAAGACCTTGGAAATGTAGTCAAACATCTTTATGTTACAGATGAAGAAACTAAGTCCCAAAAGAGTTAATTACTTGCCATGGGTCTCACAGCTACTAAGTGTCTGAAGCGGAAGTCAAATTGGGGTCTTCCAGAAGTCTATCCATTATATTAAACTCTCAAAAGAGAAGTACTGTAGACGTATTTTAGCTAGATCATAGCAAAGCATTCAACAAAAGCCATGCTCTCATATCTCTGAGAGATTAAGTGGACCAGATAATACAGAATGGATAATGTAGTTGTATCAGAATTGGCCTAAATGGTCAGACCCAAAGAGCAATCACTGGTGGCTTAATGTTAACTTTGTTAGTTATTCTCTAGTACTAGAAGTCAGGAAGGCCTAAAGATCAAACTCTCACCTCAGAAACTTTATAGTTGTGTGACCTCAGGCAATTCACCTAAATTTCTCATGATGACCTCACCTCGTTAGGCCCTTCCACCTCTAAATTAATGATCCTACAAATGTGCCAGGAATTTGTGCTTGGTCTTATGCTAGTTAGTATTTTCATCAATGGCTAGCATAGTCACAGAATGTATTTATTAAAAAATTTAA